TTTGCCCCTGTTTGGGTCGTACACCGGCATCGAGACCTCCACTATTCCTCTTTCAATCATGAAGTCACGTAGTCTTGTCAGTGCCAATATCACGTGTTCGGGATCAATTGTGTTTCTGTCGTTGACTCTCGTTACTAGGAAGCAGAGGTATTTGCCCGGGACTTGTGCCACTGACGGTGGAAGCGCTGCTATGCCTCCCATTCCTGGCCTCTGTCTGAACAGAAACTCTACGTTCTGGTACTCTCTTTTGAAGTCAGCCTCCAATCTTGATTTGAAACTCATGTCCGCCGTGATGCAGATCGCGCTGGTCCTGTTTGACAGGATGAAGTCGCTATCCGTTATCATGATGTTCTCTGAGTATTCATTGGGTATTTCGAATTTCGTTTTGAAATTCCTTCCTATGGTAGGCTCTGGTTCTTCTTCCTCCAGTTCCAATCCGCTTGTTTCCCTCACTTCCTTGAGCTTCTTTATCATCAAATTTTCGGTGTGGGTAAGTCCTACCCCCACTCCCCGGACAAAAATATTTATCGACGTCCCCGTCGATGTCGGGTCTGAATTGTCCTTAGGGATGTCCAGTGGCCTATCTGTTGCTGTCCATCCGAAAAGAGGGTCCTCTGTCTTCATGTAACTTGCTGCTGATACATCGATTTGCTGAATGCTTTGTCCTTCGCGGCTCTCGTCCTTGACATCACGCATCCACTCTAGAATCCTCAAGTTCGAGTTCTCCCTCCTTTCTATTTCACTCTGCTCGAGGTCCGTCTCCAATTCTGGCGTCGAGTAATCATCCTGCGGATAATGTCCACCATCATCAATCACTTGCCATTCCTCTTCGGCCTCCAGTTCGCCTGCGCTTAGTAGTTCATCGCCCAACTTGTCTGGCTGTATCTTATCGATCAAGAAGTCATCCCCATACCTATTGTACCTCATACCTGTTCGTTTACGATTGCCCGTCCTGGTTTCCGGTGGTGTTGGTCGATCCGGTTCCATCCACTTCGGTACCTCGTTTTGCTCGGGATCGTTCCAGTCTTCTTCTACAAATGAACCTGCATCCGACTCCACTTCTATCTTTTCGTTGTCGTCCAAACTCAAGTTCTCATTACCATCATTTTTCTCTCTGGTGCCCTTCTCATTCACTTCGCACGCTGGTTCCACCACCAGGTAGTCAAGACCCTCCATGTCTTTCGGCAGGCACCAATCCTCCGGGGACGGAACGTGAGGTTTCAGATTTTCGTAATGTGCTGCTCGCCCTGTACTCAAGCGATAGAACCTTCCTTGTTGATGTACTTCCGTAATCATGAACGGTCCTCTCCATTTCTTGAGTAGTTTCTTTGTTCCCTTGGGCGGTATGACGTTTTGAAAGACCCACACGTATTGGCCCACTTCGTATGGCTTTGCTCTCAGTATCTTTTCGTCATATTTCTTGCGTTGCCTCGTTTGCGCTTGTGCCGTGTTTCTCCGACATAGCTCGTTCAGCTCTTGTTGTCTTTTGATCGCCTCCTTCACGTATGCTTGAGGCGACGTCCTCTTCCCCTCGTACTCCGGATAGAAGAATGTCAGAGGCATTGCCCTTTCCCTGCCCGTCAACATCATGAAAGGGCTGATACCCGTTGTAGAGTGCTGGGTACTATTGTAGGCTCCTACTACCTGTGGCAGGTATTTGTCCCAGTCCGTCATGTACCTTGAGCAGTACACCCTGAGCATGTTGACCAGTGTCCTGTTCTGTCTTTCTACCAACCCATTGGTCTGTGGATGATAGGTCGTCGAGTGTGCTTGAGCAATGTGTGACCTCTTCATTAATTCTTTTGTTAAGTCCCCCACAAAAGCCTTGCCGTTGTCTGACTGGAAAGTCATTGGGCAACCATACCGCGATATCCAATGCGTTATCAGGTGATCACATGTTTCCTCTGCTGAGGCTGTCTGGCACGGAACTGCTTCCGCCAACTTGGTGAAGTGATCTATTATAACTAGTATTTGGTTATAACCCGATTCCGTCATGCAGATTTTCTGATGGTCTATCTGCACCACTTCATTGAATTCCGAACTCTCGACAGACTTGAGGGGAAACTTCATCTTCCTTGGGTCTTTTACTTGAAGGCATGCTAGGCAGGCATTCACCCATCTCTCGCAAGCTTTTCTCATTCCCGGCCAGTCAAACCTGTGAAGTATCCTTTGTTGTACTTTATCTATCCCCTGATGGCCCATTTGGTCGTGTGATCTGAAGAGCACTTCCGTTTGGTACAGTTGTGGTAGTATGATGAGGTTGTGTTTGTGTAATATCTTTTCCTCATCTCTTCTCTTGCACGCTACCACCCCTTCCGCTGTGTGGTAAAGTAAGTCTCTCTTTTCTTTGTAGAACTGGCTCAAGATCTTGTAGCTGTCTTCCTCAAGTTCCCCCTTCTCCTTGACTCCAGAATGGATCCATTTGGAGAGGTTACTTGTCATTTTGTCATTCTTCTGGGCCCTTATTAGGTCAGACAGTCTATATCTCGCCTTAACGTGCTCCTTTAACGCCATGATCTGTCCATTCATCTCACCAGGATTGTGGATGTCATCGCTCAGTTTCACACATATTATCCTTTTCATGATCTTCATGTCGTCCTCTGGTACCAGATTCGTTCTGACGTTTGAGTTGCACGATAGTTCCCTAAGAGGCTTTCTTGAAACTGCTATTTTCTCGAGCTCTTCTCCACCTCGTACCTCTTGCATTTCCAGATTGTACGTTCCTGAAGATGGATCTGTCTGTAATTCCCTGTCGTGCTGTCTCATCTTCTCTTCCGCCAGTATCATGCATAGACTGTCTTGATCCTCACTGCTCTCGTCCGAGTCTTCATCCCATTCTTTACGCTCCCCGGACAATTTTCCTTCTCCGGTTTCGTCTTCTTCCATGAATCTGGACCACTCCCCGGACTCTTGATCTAATCCCAGGTGTTCAATTTCTTCTCTGAATGTCACTTTCTTATCCCTGACTTTTGTTTGCTCCAGAATTTTTTCGGGGATTTTCTCAATTAGTGATCGCACAACTTCCTTGCTATCAGTGGTGATTCCTTTTGAGACGTCAGTATTGTTCACTGTTTTCTCTCTCCGAAGTATGGTTAGTTCCGGTGCCTCCTGACTTTTCCCTTGGATCACGGGTTTGTCATCCGATAGTTTCTCAAGCAACCTCATTAAGTCTTCATCTATTTGGACCGTTCCCTCCTCTACCTGGGTGAGATCGTGACCTTTTGCCTTGAGTGTTTCCCTCACGATTTTGGACTTGAGCATTATTCCTACCGGAATCCCTCTGCTTTTCTTCAAGATGGTCTTTTCAAGAGACTCTTTTGGCAATTCGGGATGATCTTCAATCGGTTTACCTGATTTGTCCAACCATCTCGTGAGTGGAAGACTGTCGTATGTTTCTTTGTCCATAAAGGAGAAACCATCTTTGATCTCAGGTCTGTCCGCCTCTCTTTGTTCTTGTCTCTCGTAGAACTCCGTCTTCTTGCTCAAGCTGTCGGCATTTTGCTGTTTGTCTCGCGTTCTATGTTCAATTATCATGTTGTATCCGTCCAAGCGAATTATCCATCTCCCAATGTAGCTCTGGTCCATTGAGTACGTTTTCAGCCAGCTTAATGCTCGGTTATCTACTCGCAGCTTGAAAGGTTCACTGCCTAGGTACGCTCTGTATTTCTCGACAAAGGTGACCACTGCGAACATCTCTGCTTTCGGTGCTCCGTACTTCATTTCTGTGTCACTTAGGACTTTGCTCCCGTATGCTATTGGTCTCAAGACTGTCTTCCCATTCCATTCTTGTTCTTGATGGAGAACCCCAGAAATCGCGACTACCGACGCATCTGTGTCCAGCACGTACATCCCCTTCTCAGTCGGCATACCCAGTACTGGTGCCTCACATAGCTCTTTCTTTTTTCTCTGGAATGACTCTTCTGCTGCGTTGTTCCACGTGAACTTCTTGCCCTTGTGTCTCATTAATTGTTGCATCGGGTATACCTTGTCCGCGTAGCCTTTGATGAACTCCCTGTAATAGTTAGCGAAGCCCAGGAAGCTCATCAACTGGTGCTCTGTCTTCGGTGATTTCCAGGTTAGGACTGCTTCCACGGCGTCTGGGTCAGGTCTGATGCCGTGCTTGTCTACCATCCTGCCCAAATATTTTATTGAGTCCTTGAGTATTTCACACTTTGATGGTTTGCACTTCAGCCCCGATCTTTTCATGCACGCGAACACCTCATCAAGTCTCTCAATGTGGTCTTCTAGTGTTGGCGTTGCTATTACCACGTCGTCCACATAGCACATTACCAGGTTGCCGTACTTCTTCGTCACGCCTATCAGCGCGTGTGCCATCAGCCGTTGAAACGTGGCTGTGGCATTGCAGAGTCCAAACGGCATCCGTTTCCATTGAAACAGACCTAACTCGCAGGCGAACCCTGTCTTGTCCCTGTCTTGTTTCCTTAATGGTACCTGCCAAAAAGCCGAACCTAAATCAAGAGTCGTAAAAAATTTTGCATCACCTAACTTCGAGAGGCTTTCATCAATTCTGGGTATGGGATAGGCATCCTTCACCGTGACGGAGTTCAGGTATCGAAAGTCACAACAGAACCTCAACTGGTCGCCTTTCTTTTTGGCCATCACTACTCCACACGCCCACGGTGACTTGGATGGTTCTATCATGTCATACTCTAGTAACGTCTCGATTTCTTTTCTACACGCGTCCGATTTGTGTGGGGTCATACGCCTCGCCCCCTCCCTGTGCGGTACCGCGTTTTCCTCAAGTTCTATTTCATGCTCCACAAAATTACAACACCCGATATCCGCCTTATGCCTCGAGAAAACTTCTTCGTTCCGCTCTAGTACGTCTTTGATGGCTTCGAGCTGTTCATCTTTCAGTTTGCCCCTCAGATGTTCAATCTCCGGCAGAACCGGTTTATCTGTCTGCATCTCATCTAGTGTGGGTCGCTCTGGAAAGTTTGAACAGCTCGACAGCCCATCGTCCGTTTCTGACTTAAGTGATTTAATAAGGCCTGAAGAATATTTAATTTTTTGCAATCGTCTCAAGATACAAATTTTATCCCTGTGATTGGGACAATCAACAACTTCATTTTGTTTTAAGTTCTCAATCGTTTCATATCGAGTTTTAACCGGCAAAGCATATCCCAGTTTCCTCCCTCTCTGTATCGTGATCGGTATGTCAAGGGTATTCAACAAGACACTGACGCAGAGACCACTCTTCGTTATCGAAAATGATCTTCCTAAAACAGCAGCACTTTGACTATTAGGGTTTGGAACTATACATACTTGCTTATTGTCACTTAGTTCATTGTAGTTTTTCATCCTCAAGCTCACGATTGCTGCTTCATTAGCTTTTAGCCTCACTCTCCTACTCAAGAATACCGGTGCTTTGTTTTCATTTGCCATTATTAAATTTACCGGTTTGATTGCGTACCTCCTATCCGGGTTCCGTATCCTGAACATTGCATTATTTAGATCAATCGTTACGTCGAAATTCCTGATGAAGTCTCTGCCCAAAATGAATTGGTCAGATTCATCCAGGTTTTCTACCACGATGAAGCTCATCCACAGGTTACGTTCTCCCAAATTGAGGGCTATTATCGGCGTCCTGCCTAGCACCCGAAGGGCCCCTTTGTTCGCAGCTGACAGCCGTATTCTCGAGTCTATCAAATCATCTTTGTTGAAGCCCATTCGCTCCCAAGTCTCAATTGGTATGACACTCAAGACCGCTCCCGTGTCAAGTAACCCACGTAACTGAGTCTTCTTTCCACTTATGTCCAACACGTGCCCTGTCACGTCTGCTTCCGTTCCGATGTGCATTGCATCTTCTTCAAGCATAGCACAGTGTCCAATCGATCTTACTTTCAATTCCTCCTTCCCTACATAGATTTGTCCAATCAGGTCTTCGTCGCATGTTATCATCGTCTTGGTATAGATGTTGATTCCATCTATGTTTAGCATAACCTCGTGTGGACCGTAAGCTTCAGTGTATCTGTTATCAACACGTACCGACTTGCTGCCCCCTCTCGTGAGTAGTGCCCTGAGCGCTCTAGAAGTAGTTCGTGGACTTATTCCACTCAAGTAGTCTGCATACACGTCAATGTGCATTAACGTCTGGTCGCTCGGCTCGCTCAAGTTTCTAGTCACCTCGTGGCCGCCCACTGTGATTATCGACATTATTCTTGCTCCGATTTTCGATATTCCAAAGGGTTTACCTGTCACCATTTTCACGGTGTTACAATTCCCGTTCTTTGTTGAGCCCGTTCTAGCCTCTGGTACTACGTTCGTTCCGGTTAATGCTTCGTTAAAATTCTGTCTCTCGATCTCCAACTTTAGTCGTTGCTCTATTTCTTTCGCAGCCAGATCTTGTTTCACTTTGGCAATTGCTTCCGTCGCCGCTCTCTCATAATTTATCTCTAGAGAGCTCCCGGCCGCGGACTCTAACGCACCGCTAACATGTGTTACAGCTTTCACTGTCTTCGTCGGCAATTCGGTGTTTGGTGCCCCTAAGTTCCTAGATTCGAACTCGTTTTGCCTGTTCCGCTGATTCTGCACCGCCGCTAATGCCAACTTATGTTTGGGGTGATTCTGGTCCTTGACCGCTTCCCAGAACAAGGGACAATCCATTCTGAAGTGCCCCTCCTGGTTACAGAAAAAACATCTGGCGCCTATCTTGATGATTAAGCCATTATAGTACTCGTGTTCCTCCATCTGACTCATGTCCTCCTCATCCGGTGCATAACCTAGGCTCTTCATGCCTTGTTTGTACGTTGTGCAGTCAGCCACATGATGATCCGCTGACCCGCAGTTCGCGCATGATCTGCGCTTATCCATATCATCTCTAGGTTTGTACCATGATGACCTCTGGGGTTGGCTTCCCCCTTGCGTGTTCCTGTTTTCAGAATATGAGTACTTCTTAGGTTTCATCAGCATGTATTCTCTTGATTTCTGTCTCATTTCTTCTGGGGTGGGTGCGCTGTCCTTCGACAACGTGTAGTATGTTGCTAACATTGTCCTTAAGTCATCACTTTTCACCCCATCAATGAACTTCGAGGCAATGCTAAAGTTCCGTCTGTTTGTCGACTCCTCTGGGTCACTCCTCCTTCTCAAGCTCTCGAGGTCATCTAGGAACCGATCTATTGACTCGTCGTCCCTCTGTCTCCTTTTTTCAAATCGCATCATCGCTTGATGACCCTTCATGCCTGAGCCGAATCTGTTCAACAGTATTTCAAAGATTTTGTCTGCGGTGTCGCGTTCTTCTTCTTTCTTCGCAACCACACACTTTAATGCCGTGCCTTCTAAATTGCTGAGTATGGCTGTGCACGCTTGTCTTTCGTCACTCAAGTTATCTTGCTCTAGATGTAGTCTCATCACTTCCACCCAAGTGTCAATGCATCCATCGGAGTCATCTTTGAATTCTTTTGGCTTCTTGAATGTTTTTCTTGATTTTCCCTCTCTCCTGTCGCTCGAGTCAGTGCTCCTCGTGGCGAAGGCCTCTAGAGTCCTGTTCATCATCTCCCAAGTGCTGGCCCATGTCATAGCATCCGGTCCTGAGTTGCTGTTGGCTGTTGAATCTCCCGGACCAGTCGTCGTGTTCGACGTTCCACTCTTCATTATTGTTTTCGCAGCTGCTGGTGCTATGCTTATCGCATCCCTGGGTATGGGCAACGGTGTCGATTGCCGTTTGTTTCTTTGTGGTTCTACAAAATCAACTCTGGTGCCTTGCGTACGATCCGCTGCCGGTCTCTCTTGTGGTGTAGAACCTCTCAAGATTGCATCCAACTTCGCCTGTATTGCACACGAACTCTCTGCTTGACTCTTGCTCATTGTGTCCATTCTCCTTTCCAGGCTCCCTAATTGGCTGTTAACATCATCATATCGGTTCTTCAACTGTTGCATGTCTGTTTTGATGTTCTTTTCTCGTTCTTCATTGGTGGCCTCTACCTTGTCTGACATTTCCTTGAGTCTCTCCTCTGTTGCCTTAGCTAGGTTAAAATAACTGTCTAGATACTCGTGCTTGTTGTATCTTATCTCCTTTTTTATCACCTCTCTGTCTTCTTCACTGTTCTTAAGTCTTTTGTCGATCTGATTTAATTTCGCCAACAAATCGCCCAGCTCAATGGTAGTCTCTTCATGGTCAGCCGTGGGTTTCTCTTCGGCCATAGCCTCTGCTTTAGCTTGTTCCTCATTCTGGCCGGTTTCTGTCGCTTTCGTGCTCATTGTACCAAATGTTCGTGCTCTTTCTGCTTTTGGCTCTTCAGTCACGTTTTCTTTCGTTTTTATTCCGAACATTATTCCCAATTTTTCCGTAAAAGATGTCCTCTTTACTTGAGAGTCTTCTTTCACCGTTTCTTCGGTGTTGCCTATTGCATCTTCCGCGTCATCTATCGGTGAGAACTCTATGGGTTTCTGGTTCGTTTCCTCTGTATTGGGCATTGGAGTTGACTCTGTCGCCATCTTCCCTGTTTCATCCACACTTTGATCGGGTGTCTCTAGATCAATCTCGATGGTGGGTTCTACTCTCTCCCCTTCCGTGCCCTCTTTCGCCCTGTTCTCCGCTGTACTCCTTGTGCTGACCATGTTAACTGAAAAGTTCTTCTTTGTTATCTTCGGACCCATTGGTGTTGCTTTGCTTAGCGACGAATTATACTTTGCTTCGGTCGATCTTTTTTCAGCTACCGGTACCCTGCTCCGCCTCATTATTTACAATTGTTATTATTTACAATATTATTATCTACAAAAATTCTATTCTAAGGTTTAAAAACTCCAAGGAAAAAGAAATTAATAATTCGCTAAAAACAATTTTTCTTGAACTCTTGTAAGCTCTTTCGTGTTAGGTTAGGATAGGGAACGTGTTTGAACGTGTTGTTATACTTGGTGCTTCAACCTAACCTATTACTTTTGTAGTACCCCCTTCCTAATGCTGTTCCAAGACTTTCTCTTTACCGTCCCAAGACCGTTCAGCGTTGTCCCAGTACTTCTCGTTGGTACCTTTAGACCAGCGTCCCAAGACCAATGGCCCAAGGCTAACGTCCCAAGACCAACGTCCCAAGACTAACGTCCCAAGACCAATGTCCCAAGACTAACGTCCCAAGACCAATGGCCCAAGACTAATGTCCCAAGACTAACGTCCCAAGACCAATGTCCCAAGACTAACGTCCCAAGACCAATGGCCCAAGACTAATGTCCCAAGACCAATGGCCCAAGACCAACGTCCCAAGACTAACGTCCCAAGACCAATGGCCCAAGACTAATGTCCCAAGACCAATGGTCCAAGACCAACGTCCCAAGACTAACGTCCCAAGACCAATGTCCCAAGACTAATGTCCCAAGACCAATGGCCCAAGACCAACGTCCCAAGACTAATGGCCCAAGACCAACGTCCCAAGACTAACGTCCCAAGACCAATGGCCCAAGACCAATGTCCCAAGACTAACGTCCCAAGACCAATGGCCCAAGACCAATGTCCCAAGACCAATGTCCCAAGACTAGTTCGGTACTGTCCCAAGACTCGTTACTGAGTGTCTGGATATAGGATTTCTTTCTTCTTCGTTGTAGGGACTCCTTGGTTGTCTGTACCTTGTACCACCACTCAAGCTCTAGTGAAAATTTTCCCAAAAACCCTCTCTTGGTTGCCAAATCTGGCCCCCCCCTTTTTTAGTTGCCTCTTTTTGAATGTTCCCAGCAATTGGGAGCCACAACTTGTGTGCAGGTATCTTGTGATCACCTGTTTGTATTAAAAAGCAATCGCAAATCTTCCCCAAAACGCAACAATGTCTATAGAAAAAATAAAATTCTGTACCGAAAAAATAACAAAACAGAGTAATCGACCCACCTAAAATTCAAAGGAGACAAATGTCAACCTTCTTTCAAAAAAAATGTCTGGTACCTAATTGCCACGCGTTTTCCTCCCCCCACTAGTCGTCTTATGAGGTGTCACGAAAACTGTCTATATCCGTTCCCCCCTACCGATCCAACCAGCGTACCAATCTTAACTCGAGATAAGTTTT